TCTATCGAACTTTTAAGCAGGAAATTGCCAAGGAAAGGATCTATGATAATACTCGGGGTAGTTCTCTACTGTTTGAGGCCAGAACGGGAGTACTGCGAACCAAGACATATCGGGCCAAATACGAAGGGGTAGACACAGTATGCAGTGCGTGTGGAGAGGAAGAAGAAACTGCCGAACACTTGATAATGTTCTGTAAAGGGCTTCACCCTATAGTTCAGGATGATGGCGCAGAGTTTTTCAAAGCACTGGGGTTTAGGTACCGGGAGGGCAAAATAAACTTTAGGCGGGTAGGCTTAACTAGAAGGAGGTTATCTGATTGGTGGCTAAAGTCAAGGCACGAGTGAAAATTAAACTCTTCACTGCAAAGTACGAATCCTCAAACTCTCTTTTAAGGAAAAAAAATAAATATAGTTTTTGGTTCATTAGGTATTACGGCTTGGTGGCACTAGCCACCGCCCGATCTAAAGGGTACAGCCATGTCCATCCATCCATCCAGCCTCCGTTTTGCTCACGTGTCGCACCCGTTAATGTATCGGTCGCAGTCGCGCGAGCTGGTTGCTGCAAGCGTCGAGCCATAGCCTCCTTTATTTTCTGTGCCCGCGCAGTCAGTCCGCCGGGCCCGTTCGGCCGCCTCCCGCATCCTCCTCTCTTTTTGCGTCTGCTGTCCGCCAGGGGCGCTCGCATCCCAGAATCAAGTCGGCGCATTCAGCCGCGGCGACGCACCTCCAGGAAACCTTTGTTCGTGTCGCATACGTTTGCAGTACCAATTATTTACGACCAAAACGGTACGTAGTACTTTCAGCAAGTATAATTGTAACTGTTGCTTCATTGTGTTGCGTGAGCAGATGACACGCGGCATTAACTGAGTGCGTATAAACAAACAACGTCGTTTGTACCCCGCGTTTGCACGGCCGTTGTCAAGCGCGGCTATCATTTTTCGCGCTTCTTTCTGGCAATACTTTTCCGCGCACCTATCTTCGCAGCGTAGTACTTTCAGCAAGTATGATATTTAACTGTTGCTTCATTGTGTTGCGTGAACAGATGACACGCGGCAATAAGTGAGTGCGTGTAAACAAACAACGTCGTTTGCACCTCGTGTTTGCAGGGCCGGTTTTATGCTTTGCTATCATTTTTCGCGCTTCTTTCTCGTGAGGCTTTTCCGCGCACCTATCAGCGAATTTCGCTAAGTAATCAGGAATGTTAGTTTACGGTTTCTCTCGTTTCTGTCTCGTGCAGCGGCCTACGCACACAAGTCTCCGTGGTTCATTCGGCTGTGATGACCCGCGTCAGGTGCGATGGCGTACTGTTGCGTGCCCGGTTGCAAGTCTTCAAGCAAAAAGAAGGAAGTAGGAATTTCATTCCACGAAATTCCAAGCGACGAGGAGTTGCGGCAAAAGTGGATAAAAGTCATTTCACGAGACAATTGGACGCCGAACACCACTTCCTGCTACTCAACCGTGTGCAGTCGTCATTTCGTTGCTTCTGATTTTAAGCAAGGATGTAAAACACGAAGGCTTATGAAAGGTGTGGTGCCTAGCGTATTCGAAGAATATCCGCGCTACTTGCAGCCTTCGACAAAAGCCCCGAGAAGTGACGCGGCGATCAGAAAAAAAATTGTGATTGCTGCTTGTGAACAGTGTGAACGAGGGTACTAAAGCTCGTCAGACTGTGTGCGTGTGAGGAACGTTTCGATCGACGCCCTCGTGTTCGTTTCCGCAGGTTGCGAATGAATTAATACGCAATAAACAAGTTTATCTACTGTTTCCTTGAAGGTATGGTGTTCTGTTCAATGTGCTATCTTGCGTACTTATTCTTTCTCTCTTGCATATGTTCTCTCCTAAATATTTAGGTGGCACACGGGAGTGGTATCACACTTTTGTTTTTTAAGCTTGCCGCGCTTACAAACGCGCAACGAAGGACCCACCCGTCAGTGCCGGCGGTAGCACTGGAGTCAGTGAACAGGCTCTGCCGGTTCTGGGAAGGCAGCGCCGCCTGGTGGTGATTGCGGGAACTCAGCCTGACGGTCGGCTCCTTTTATCCCGGCGGCAAAGCGCAGGCACAGAAAATAAAGGAGGCTATGGTCGAGCGCCTTGGCTTGAAAAGAATATGCCACAGGCACGTGCAGCCGACAATTTTTTTTTTCTAACCTGAACGCGCTTGTGTTGACCGCCCAGTCCATGAGAGCCTTATTCGGCGGCGAAATTATACCACGACAATACGTGCATGCACGCTATTAAGAGTCTCCAGCTGTCGTCTCTTGGGCTGTTCTGTGATCCGGACATCGGGAGACCGAGATTAGAGAATTAATGACTCAACGGTCGGTGCTCACACGTTCACGTTTTAAAAAAAAAGGGCTGCTGTACACTCGGGCTTGCGGGGTCAAGTCAATTATTTTGGGGAGGTTGTTAGCGTCACTTGTTAGTATAAACCAGCGGCCACCACTCTTTTTACATGACGTTTGGGCATTTTTGGCACTTTCTTGACACAACCTTCTCGGAATCATTGCAGTGGACGTTGAATGCTGGCTTTCTATAGTGCCTAAACAATGTCTTGAGGTACACGTTATGAGGTTGTTTGGCAGACAAAGCTATTTTGGAGTTGTAGAAAAATTTTTAAGTACACTTGAGGCGCTATTCTTCCCTTTTGAAAATGTCTGCTTTAGGGTCTTTTCTTAGACCAATACGTATATAATCGTTTGTAGCAGTTCCGGAAATTCTTTAAGGTTTTGTTTCTTGGGATGTGGATGTCCATCTGCTGCCCAAATTATTGAGTCCATATGAAATCCTTTGTAGATATCCTACTGATGTTCCAGACAAGAAACAAAACAGGTGTAAGGTACAATCGAAATGCAACACCCCTAGGTCGTCTCTCATATAACCAGCTCCAGACGTGGAGAGAGAGAAACAACATTTATTAAGAGTCCGGCGATGATAAATCGGGGCCGACTTGAACCCTGGCCTAGGCACCGGCCGCGAGCCCTTGGGCTAGGGCGGCTTCCTCGGCTCGCTGGACGGCCCATAGTTGTCGTTCTAATGCGGAGCTAAGCAGAGCCGCCTCCCAGCGCGCCCTGCGGTTCGAGACTGCCTCCTCGTTTGTACTGCTGAGTGCGTCATTGAGACTCGAGCCCTCCAATAACATATGCCCCAGGGTTGCTCCGGAATCACTTGCTTTGCATTTATCTGTCGAATACAGGTTAGGGTAACAGAAGCGAGAGATCACTGGATTTGGAAAAGTGTCTGTTTGGAGTTGTTTCCGGCTAATTCGCAATGTGGTGGTGGGTATTTACGCCTACCGAGATTGTAGTGCTGCGCAATCTCACTGTAGCTAGTCATAAGTTCCTCCCACTCCCACACTTTTGCGCGTGTGGCCTCGGTAGAGGCGGCATCGGGTTCCAGACGTGGATGTTCCGTTTTAATTTGAATCTACACTGAATTTTTGTGGCCCATTGGGTAGATGGAACACAAAAAAGTCAGAGCCGCTGTTGAGGATAAGGTAAAGTACGAGTATGATGAACAGATCATACTAGAATCTTGGAAGAATGGCAATATAATTTAATCCTTAAGAAAGGGGATATCAAGCACTTGAGAAATTAAGGCCATGGTCAGCTTCCTGTCTGTTGTCTACAAGCTATTCATAAAAATAGCTGATTATGACATTGCAGCTCAATCAACCAAAGGACCAAGTAGGATTTCGTACATGCTACAAAATAATGTATAGACCATATTCATACTGTCAATCAAGCGATAGACATATGCGCAGAATAGGACCAAGCCCCATACATAGCCTTCATAGATCACTAGAAGGCATTTGATTCAGTCGAGATATCAGCACTCGTACAGACACTGCATGGGCATCAACAAAGCATGTGTGTGTGTGTGTGTGTGTGTGTGTGTGTGTGTGTGTGTGTGTGTGTGTATATATATATATATATATATATATATATATATATATATATATATATATATATATACACACACACACACACTTGAATAAATCTACAGCCACTCTAGTTCTCCATAAAGGAAAGGGTAAAATCCCGATAAATCAGGGTGCGAGACAGATGGGAATGATTTCTTCATTGCCATTTACCGCGTGTTTACAGGTTTTCACGGCCTTAGATTGGGAATTAAGAGCTGCGGACAAAAGTTAATGGAGAGTATCTTAGTAACCTACGATTTATTGATGAGTAACTCAGGGGACAAATTACATACAGCTCATGATTACTGAATGGGACACGGAAAGCAGAAGAGTAAGTGTAAAATTTATTATGCACAAAACTAAAGTAATGTACAGCAGCCTCCGCGGATAAGAGCGCTTTTGCTATAGGTAGCGAGACACCGGAAGTTGTAAAGGAAACATGTCTACTTAGGATAGGTTGTAACCGTGGTGCCCAACCATGAGAGCGAAACAACAAGAAGGATAAGAATGGAGTGGAACACATTCGGCAGGCATTCTCAAATTACGAACGGTCGTGTCCCTCAAGAGGAAGGTATATTATCTTACCGGTACTTGACTGCAGAGCAGAGACTTGGATGCCTAAAATGAGCATTCAAATTAAATTGAGGACGACGCTGCGAGCGATGGAAAGGAAAATGATAGGTGTTGTAAACTTAAGAAAGAAGAAGAGAGCAGAGTGAGTCAGAGAACAAACCGGTCTCAAGGATATCATAGTTGAAATTAAGGAGAAGAAACGGACATGGACTGGGCACGTAGCGCGTAGGGAGAATAAGCACTGATCATTAAGGGATAACTAACTGGATTCCCAGAGAAGGCAAACTGCGTGAGAGAGAGACAGAAAATTAGGTGGGCATGTGAAATCAACAAGTTAACAGTTATTAGCGTGTCAGCAGAAAACACAAGATTGATTGGCGGATTATGGGAGAGGCTTTTGCCCTGCAGTGAGCAAAGTTAGGCTGCTGATGGTAACCTTTTTTTTTTCAGTTTATTTGTGTAAGTGTCTGTTCGAAGTATTACTTAAAGCAGCGCGCTTGCATCTCCAGCTCCCAGGGCCAGCACCCACCTCCGGCCACCCGCACTTTAGCCGAGCACACACAACCGAGCAGACGGCGGCAGCTGGACCCATGGTGCACCACGCATGGAAACACAAGTCAACATGATCGAGCTGTGGTCAAGAAAACTGTGCGACAGCGAACACCACCTGGCGGTGTCACTATCGTGGTGCAGTGAACATGCAAGAAATAAACAATGTTCGGCGCCAACTTTTCAACGTGCAGAAGAAGCGTATCCCCGTTTGACAAATCTGTTCTGTGGCCTACACGGTAGAGGAAGAACCAGAAACATTATCGTATATCTGTACGGAGCTACAAGTAAATTCATCGGCTAACTCAAAATTAAACATTTGGGCGGTCAATAAATGTTGGGCGGGATCCAGGAGCAAAAGTGCAGCTCTGGACTATCATATCCCGTCGCCTTGCGCAACTTGACATCATGTCAACTCTAATCGGCTGAAGATACCCCATTACAAAATTTGAAAGAAATATAGCGAAATTCGACAACCTTTGGAATACGTCCCTCGATAATCTTTCAAGTGTTAAGATTTCATTTTGAGACGTTCGCATGAATTACCAGTAGCTTCACGCGGCCAATTAGCAGGGGTGTTTGAAGAGTGTTAAACATTGATTGAACAGCTAGCCGCGACTGATATCTGCACACAATCCGTACGAACCGCAAAAGACAAAACAAATTATTTCGAATAATCAATCATCTCTTGTGCTACAATCATGCTACAAAGATCGCGGATACTCGTTTTTAAATGTACCAGTCCACATTTAACGAGTCGAAACACTTCGCAGCGTAGTGCTTTCACTACTTTTTTTTTTTAATTCGTCGTCGAATCAAATGCCAAGCCCACAAAAGCCTATAGAGTACACAGGTATGAGTTCCGAAATTTAATTACCGAGTCTTTCTAAAAGCTTGTTTCGATTCCTGCTGTACGCTGACGTCGCAACACGATATGAGCCTCTCCTCAGGTAAGTTCCGCGGGCTGCGAGGCTCCGTCGGTGACGCGTCACAAGCGGCCAAAGGTTCGGTATAGACCAGGTACAACCAGCCATTATTGGTGCGTGACACCACCAGAACTGATATTTAGTCTGACGTCTGGCTGTAGTGTCGACGTCAGAAGGTGAACCATGCAAAAATTGATTTTAAGGAAAGGTATGGAAAAAGAAAGAAACGCTTCATTGATGCGGCACAAAAAAAAATGTCGGGTCTCTTAAGCTTTGCCTGTAGGAGTTGAATGCGATAGCGATATCCTGTCCTTATGTATTTCAGACACTTAGTGCGGAAATCTTTTCAAAGTTTCCATGCACCCATCACGTGGCCTTATGGAAATAGGTGCAGTAACATGTTCAACTTCTGCAGAGGGGTGACCGGCTTTAAAGCATGAAGTCAACAACGTATTTAATCACATGTTCTGAAGCCCGATTGCAATGTCCGCTTGTACCACGAATTATCACTAAAACATTTCAAGGTGTATTTTGAAGCATGTATACAAGAAACGTGTGGGCATGAAAGTTACATTCACTGTATTTCGAAACAGAGGAACTTATTTTCACTGTATTCACAAGCAGAGGCGTGGCTGTGTGGCAGAACAACCGCTTGCCACGCTATCAACCTGTGTTCAATCAACACTCGAACCCAAATGACCCTGCTCACTCCGACCCAGGATTCTTTTATTATTTATTCCATTGACATCGTTCCCGATTTTTCGGTCACACATAAGATGACAACTTTTCACTCGCAACTAACGATGCCGACATCAACACCGACGCCTGAATTTCTGCGAAACGAGCTCTTTAACGCTCTCGCATTAAGGGAAAAACCTTATCGGCATCTCCTCAGCTTAGATAGTCGAGATTACAACGAAATCCTGTCTGGACTTCTGTTTTTAACGTGTGCGCAACAATTTGATTATCCAAAGATTCTATGCGCAATCGCGGAAACAACTTTCAGTTGCAACGATACAAACGTTGTTTTAGTTGAAATCGTGTCCCGAAGACACCACATGCTCTGCAACGGCATAAGAACAAACTTTCTTGTTCCCAACATTCTTGTTCTTCTCAGCTTCACACCTGGTAAATGTCATCTACAAAATATTTGTATGACGTAGTATAATGACCTTCAAAACTTGGTTACACTATACGATTACGAAATAAATCAAAGCAGTGCCTGAAACAGGTTGTTGCAGGCGAAATCCCAGGTCCATAGTTCTTACATACCTAACGCAAATTTTGAGCGCAGAAAACAAGACTATTCACAATAAAAGGGGACAGGACAGATTTCCCGTGAATGTTTTTGCACTCAAAATTTTCATTAGCTATGCACCATGTTGCCAAATTTATTAAGCCTTCTTAAACACTCATTAAGCGTAAATGTTAATGAACTGTTTGTCTCCTTTGTTCACCTGATGACCTGTTTTGTTGACACAGCTAACTACAGTTGAGGGCAACCGATGTATATACGCATAAGTAGATTCACTAACATTTTCTGCGATTTATTCCTTGACAGACACACCTGTTGGAATATGTGACCACAAGCACACCAAAGCAGCACTAAACAGGCGCCTGCACTGTTCTGTGTTCGGGAGCAAAAATGAAGCGCAGATTGAAGTTAAAGCTAAAGATGTGGAGATCGCGGATGCCACGAGTATGTCATAGGACACACGAATATGCACACACATGCAGAGGAGCCTCGTCCAAGAATGGGCTGGAGTGCATGAGCCCAAATCATGATCGGCAGCCGTTTCTAAACATCTCTGCGAAAGTGACGAGTGGGCGAAGCAATGGGTATTGTACCAGTGAGTAACCGTGAGTTACCCCAGTGTTGCACCATGTAATGTAAATTGAGTGATAAAGAGAAATGTAAATTCATTTCGTCTTGCAGTTCGTCTTAGGCAATTCAAGAAGGACTTAGAAAATTGCTGGAGTGGAGCATATGTCTCGAAAGTGAATCCAGGAACCTGCTATCTTACCGGTGGCAAGATACCATTCTATATTGTTAAAGATGTCCATAAGAAGCTACTACATGTAGGCACATTTTAGTATAGATCAACTCATCAACACTCTTCTCAATAGGTTATTTTCAGCCGAGAATAGCAATCAATTACATTTTCATTAGCCTATAGTCTACGTTGAAGTCTGTTGTAGAAACTTTTTTTTGTCTCGCATGTTTCGACTATAGAAACTGTTCTATACCATGATCCTCAATGAAAGACAAGGCTATACGTGCTAAGAAGCTTCTCCCCTTAAAAAAGAAAAAAGCGGCTTTTCGCAGTACTGCCAAAGCTTATAGTTGGGCAGCCTCCTTGTTTCTCTTTCTTTCCACCCATCTTTTCCACTGTCTATTTCTATACATTTCTATTTTTCTTCCTTCTTTTCTCTCTCGATGGCATCATCTTTTTCAATTATTATATTTGTTTGTTGTAGCATATCGGTGCGAGCGCGCAGTCAATATGCTACAGCTGGCTGCGTTATGTCAAGTGATGAAGACAGTCTATGATAACCAGGCCCCCTGTAGTAGTCCTCCGCACTTGAAACTATGCAATCACGGACAGCCTGTACTAAAAGACGGTGCTGACGCTTGGAGGAAAGCAGACAAACTCAAGAAGAAGAAGAAAAAAAGAACCACGCAAAGTGCGAAGAAATGGCGCGCGATAGGCGTGACCATAGAAGATAAAAGGACAGCAAAATGGGTCAGAAAGTCGATACCCTAGCTGACGTCGAGCGAGAGATGCCGCCCGCGCAATGAGCGTCAGTGGCGACCTATTCAATGCTGGTAAACAGTGGTAGGTGCTGTTGACATACTGAGGTGCTTCTAGCAACGTCGTTGCGCGTACGCTATGCCCAGCCCAAAGCTCACCACCATTCTCTACGATCACGCGACAACTTCACAAAGCAACTGCAAAGCTGTCACCGAACAACCTAACACAGTGCGTCGAGGAGCTTTCCGCGCGTGTGGCGAGCTTTTGGCTGCGCAGAGCTGAGGGGCCGCGACGTCGCTACAAGCGCATCACCATGTCGACGTCATCTACCACTGTTTACATGGAATAGGACTATATATCACCGGAATGGTCAGCGAGAGATGATATCTGCAAGAAGATCGCGGGGATAAAATAAATCTGCTCCTAAATCATAACGGAAGATCATTGGAAGAGGTCCTGCAGTGGGCGCAAAATATATGGTTGTAGCGCCATCGACATGCATCATCATTTCTTAGCCACCGCACCGCGCCTCTTGCGTACTTCACGCCTAAAACCTATGAATAAAAGTATAATAACCACTCCTCCTGCACTGCGTTTGCTCTCTCTTCTTTTGAGCATGGCTCCACCTATGCGGGGCATAGCTAGCAGACGCTATCCGTGTCCAATGCTGTTGTTGCTCGTGCTCGTCAGCTGGTATTTCGGTGACATTTTTTTCATGTGAACTGACTGCCGAAACACAATCAAAGGGCACCGACAGATGAACAGGCAGAAATAATTTATTTGTAAGTGTCTTTAGACCATGCAGACCATGCAGGCCATGCATGCCTTTCGCGGCGATGACATTGGCAGCCCGAGTCATCACAGCAAGCTGCAATGCCGAGTGAGAAGACATGAAAATGCTGTTGCGCTTGGGTGGCGGTGAGAAACAACCACGCGCCACGGCAGCCTTTATCGAACTGCTGTGGATATCTATCGGCGGGTTGACGTGCCGAGAAAAAACGCTTTCTCGAAGCAACTGGCACTGCGAAGAACATCTGAATTATTAGTCAAAGAACGTGGCAATTTCACACCAGCGCCTAAAGTTGAAAACGCACGCCACGTTTTCCACACACAAAAATGCCACATTCGGGGGACATCGGCGTAGCCATGAACGCCCCTTGCACGCAAGTTGAGAAGCGTCTCCAGCTGAAAAGCACGAATCCTTCACTGTGGCTAACAGAAACGCATTTGAAAACTATTTCAAGGAAGCCAGGGGCGAACACTATAAACAAACACAAAAATGAATATGCAGCCCTTAGACGGACTAAAACCTAACAATTTTAGCGAAATGCGAAGAGACGCCCGTAAACCTTACAGAGTCGACACCGTCATCCCAGCAGATTCTATGCATCCTACGGTAGCGCGTCTCGCTTCGCAATCCAAAAGTATCTTGCTGTCAGTTTAACGTATGCAGCAACCGCAAAGCGCACCAAAGGGGAATCGCAAACAGAAACCACGCAGCAGAAGTCCGAAAAAGAGACCCGAAAGATACTGCACACATGCGAAGCTCATCGTGTTGGGCACCACCATCGAGCTCGAGCTCAAGAGAAACGAAGAAAAAAAAAACGAGCAAGAGAAAAGGCACGCGAGGGAGCACGTGATGGCGTTCGGCAAATAGGAGCACAGAGCATCGGGGGAACGCGGGAGAGTCTGTTTGCATGTAAACAGCTCGTGGTCACGTGACCCAAGGTAAATGTCACATATAACGTCATTGGTATAGAGCGATGGGCTTCAAATGGCACTGCAACTGGCTACATCTTGTCAAAGAAGTTTGAGACCACGTGACAAGAAAAAAAGAAAGAAGGACGACGTTTGTTTACATTAGGATTTGCTTGAACTGTTTCAAGTTATCTAACATTCTTGTGGTCGTCATCCACGCTGCGTAGTTCGTTAACCTGACAGCTAGATTTAATGTTTACTCCACTGCGCCGTGGTACCCTGTTTTCTTCGGCGTTCCATTAAT